TAAACCCCAAACACTAGTCTTAGAGAACTGCGCCATGGAATCCAAGATGCGGATCAGGAGCTCCGTCGACTTCTGGTACTTTCGGATCTCACCTGTGCAGCACGCGGGGGGTTTAGGGTTTAGGGTTTAGGGTTTAGGGTTTAGGGTTTAGGGTTTAGGGTTGTGCTGCCCCCATGCATGGTTGAGAGATGAGGGCTTAGGGAGTTTAGGGTGCAGAGTTGGGGCTTGCATAGTCTCGGCCTGATTGTTGGGATGCAGGCGGGCGGGCGCTTCGGGCTTAGGGTCAGGGATTGAAGGGGATCCTAAACCCTAAACCCTAAACCCTAAACCCTAACCCCTAAACCCTAAACCCTAAACCCTCACAAAGCTTCAGCCCAAGTGTCGCAGGGCCAGGACGCCCGGACGATAGCGCGTTGTCTTCTTCATGGTGCCAACCGCCGGGGCCTGATTCTGGCGCAATAAGGTTTCGCTGGGCAAGGCTAGGGTTTAGGGTTTAGGGTTTAGGGTTTAGGGTTTAGGGTTTAGGGTTTAGGGTTTAGGGTTTAGGGTTTAGGGTTTAGGGTTTAGGGCTTAGGGGTAAGCCCGAAAGCCCTAAACAGTAGCCCATGAACGGGAGGCCCCCATGCCTACACCCTATACACCCTTCCTGGCTGAAAATGCGTAATAATAAGGTGCTCCACTGAAGCTCCTGAAGTATACTGAAGTGCCGGAACCTCAAACTGGTCCTGGGGTCATGGTATAATTTAAGGGTTTAATGTTGACTTCACATTAATGATTCCCGCTACAATTATAAAATCCAGCTGCCGGAACACAATAATGTAACCCCCCACAATTATAAAATCCAGCCCGGATTTTTTTTACTACTAGTGGTACTACTACCTAATACTAAAACTAATAGTACGTCCTACCAGGATTTAGGCGAATATAATTGAGGAGGCCCTGGCCGGAGAGATTGATCAATCAAGGGGGGGAGGGGGGGGGGTTATTAATGCGAAGTCAACATTAGGGCTTTAGGGTTCTGCGTTTCAGGAGTTTCGGGTCTTTTGGGTTGAGGGGACAACGCCCATCATCATCAGACAAGTTCTATAGGCCAGCGACGGATTCCACTGTCGAATTTTTCGCGAGTGCAAGGAAGACTGCCCGCCCCCGTGCAAACCCGAAACCCTACAATCCCTAAGCCACAGCGCCTGCTCAACAACAGTTGTCCAGACCAGGGCTCCCCCAACGACATGGACTCCACCCGGAACCCCTAGAACACCCAAACCAAATTTTTTTTCAGACAAACCAACAGACCCTAGAACAAAAATGTAAACCCTGAAGCCACCTCTAGGCCCTAAATGTATATCAACCTCGCACGCTCCGTGACAGTTTCAAGTTCTCCAGGTCAAAATTCACTGGAGGGTGGTGGCAGACTGAGCTCCTGGCAGCCTTACGCGCGGCCTTCGCAACCAAATCACCACGTGCAGCCTCCACGAGTTTTGGGGTTTAGGGCCAGCAGGCGACAGCTCTTACAGGGGAAAGAAGAAAACATGTCGTTCTCCTCCTTGCGTAACGAAACCCATACAAAGTTAAGAGCTCAAATATTGGCCCAGGCTTAGAAATGTGAGAGAACCCAAAGCCGCAAACCCTAAACCCTAAACCCTAAACCCTATACCCGAAACCCTTCTGGGGCTTTCAGGGGGGGGAGGGGGGGGGGCAGAAGTTGGATCCCTGCCACTATCAGTCCTTCATAGGGATTTTTGGTACCCCGGAACCCCCTATTCTCATCCCTGCCAAAGAATATTAGTACAAGGGAGAACACCCAAACCCTCCACCCTAAACCCTAAACCCTAAACCAAGCTAAACCCTAAAGCCTAAAGCTTAAACCCTATAAACCCTAAACCTTAAGCAGGTTTCAGGGTTTTGGGAGGTTAGGATTCAGTGATATTCGGCGCTTACCCCAGAATGCGTGGGTCGCTCCCAAACCCCTAAGACCCCAAAACGCGAACCCCACACCCCAAAGCTTTCCAAACCCAAAAACCCCCAAAACTTTCCAAACCCCCAAACCCCCAAACCCCAAAACCCCAAATCCCCAAACCCCCAAAACCCCAAATCCCCAAACCCCCAAATCCCCAAACCCTAAGCCCCAAACCCTAAACCCCAAACCCCAAACCCCCAAATCCCCAAACCCCAAACCCTAAACCCTAAACCCCAAACCCTAAACCCTAAACCCTAGGCGTTCAGGTTCACAGGACAGTGTAGTTTCCCTTGTGGTCCACTGGCTTCTGTCGACCCGAACCCTAGTGTGGTTGTGGCACTCTCGGTCCGCACGTGCGCGAGAGTGGATTCCCGGCCCACGACATCTCCGACGACAGCATCTTCGTCACCGGAGACCCACTGCGCCTTCTATTCCGGAGCGGCGCCCGGACTACATTGGACTGGCTTCTGGACGGTTGCTGCCTTTTACTAGGAGGCCAACTTTTTCTGGATCCAAGTTCTTCACTTCTTTGACAGCTGGTTGATGGGACAGTGGTTTTTCCCTTTCCTATACATTTGCTGGAGCAGTATCGGACTACTGCTACATAGCCAAGACGGCCAAGGAGCCAGCCTGGCATCGGAAACTCCGTCGGTCTCGAACGAGGGCCCGGACAACTTGCCGTATAGCAGCGACAAGACCAACTGCACTGCCGCCAGGACAAGTGCACAAGGCAATCTCCATTTTGGGGAACCACCATTCTGGATCGGCTGCAGCCAGAGCAGCATCAAGAGTCTGCCCGTTTGCAGACCAGATGGCGAACAGGTCTCAAGGACCATGGAATGGACCGGCATGGCAATGCCGGTCGTGCCGGCAGTCCGTAAAGGCGACTGCAAATTTCTGTCCGACTTGCGGAGCTTCATGGGAAACAGGGCAGGGTTCCTACTATCAGTCGTATACGACTTGGACACCGCCACCCCCATGGAAGGAGGAGCGCGCACACCCCAGGGCACGTTCATCGCCCAGAAGACGCACCGACCCGAGCAAGGGCAAAGGCAAAGGCAAGCACAAAGCCAAGACCGAGTCCAACAAGTTGCAGAACAGGAACACAGACGCCGACGCCTCGGTTCCAAATACCGCGGCGATACCAGCACCGCCTGCTCAGCCACACATTGGGACGCCGAAGCCCGACAAAGCCCCAGAGCCACAGCCGGAGGAGAAGAAGTTGATAGAGCAGCTACTGAAACATGTCGATGTCATGCAGCTGCCACAGCATCTACAGGAACAAGTTGGTGCCCTCACCGAACAGGACTTGCAACATCATGGCAAGCGTCTCCACAAACTCGTCGCGGCCAAAACCGCGGCATTGAAAGGACTGCGCAAAATACGCTCCGAGATGGGAGCCTACCACTCGGCGTGGGAAGGCTACACAACGGAGCTCCTCACCATGTGGCAAAAGCAGACGGCCGAGCGAGAAAAGAAGATGGAGGAGTTCTACGAGGCGGAGCAGAGCTGGGTGGCTCAGTTGAAAGGTGCCACGCAGGCACTTCAGATGGCCACTCAGGCGTCAGACGCCAAGCTCACGGAGGAACAAGCTATGGACATCTCCGAGGCGCAAGTGGACGATGCCCTGGAGGAGGAGCAAGAGCTTCGAGCCAGACAACAGCAACAGAAGCAAGCCACGGAAGCGCAGGCTATGCAGATAGCCACTATGCTGGAAGCAGTCAAGAGATCGGCTGCGACATCGGCCACCGAACTTCGCGACAGCTCCAGGACCCCAAGACGCAAGCCGCCGCCCACAACAGCCCCGTCGCAGGGGGCCCCAGCTACGGCAGGCGAGCCCATAGCTGGTGGAAAGCCTTTTTAATCAGCCCATGCCTGAGCCTTCTGGGAACGCATGGGCAGTCAGCTCCTGCCCCTATTTTAGGAGGTACAGTAGAGCATTTTTCCCTAACCCCACCATGGCACCCTATACAGCATGAGTGGGATTATCTTGCACCATGGCAAGCCAGCCTAGTTGCCGTCAATCTACACTTTGAGCTGAGCCTGCCGCCATCCTGTGAACATGTGCACACCTACTTTTAGGATAAAAGGCTGCAGGTACACGAGCAAGACGGTCACCGTTCGGACGCGCTCGCGCAGGCATCCAACGAACCTCATGGCAAGCGCTGCAGCCATGTAGGTCCTCAGGTGCACTCAGGCCAGCCTCAAGGTCAGATGCCACAAGTAGGTCCTCATCAGGGGCATGCAGCCCCGGCTCAGGAAGGTCCAGGTCAGGCGCTTGAAGTAGGTCTTCAGGTGCACTCAGACCAGGCTCAAGGCCAGGTGCCGCAAGTAGGTCCTCACCAGGTGCACGCAGCCCAGGCTCAAGGTCAGGTGCCTCAGGTAGGTGTTCAGGTGCACTCAGAGGCTCAAGGTCAGGTGCCGCAAGCGCACTCAGGCCAGGCTCAAAGTCAGGTGCCGCAAGCAGGTCCTCATCAGGTGCACACAGCCCAGGCTTGGGGTCATCAGGTGCCTCAGGTGCACTCGGGCCGGGCGCCGCAAGTTAGTCCTTTTCAAGCGCACACGGCCCAGGCTCAAGGTCAGGCGCTTCAGGAGGTCAGATGCCTCAAGTAGGTTCTCAGGTGCACTCAGGCCAGGCTCAAGGTCAGGTGCCGCAAGTAGGTCCTCATCAAGTGCACACAGCCCAGGCTCAAGGTCAGGCGCTTGAAGTAGGTCCTCAGGTGCACTCAGACCAGGCTCAAGGCCAGGTGCCGCAAGTAGGCCCTCATCAGGTGCACGCAGCCCAGGCTCAAGGTCAGGTGCCAGAGGTTGGCGTTCAGGTGCACTCAGGCCAGGCTCAAGGTCAGGCGCCGCAAGCAGGTCCTCGTCGGGTGCACGCAGTCCAGGCCCAAGGTCAGGCGCCGCAAGTAGGTCCTCTTCAAGTTCGCGCAGCCCAGACCCAAAGTCGGGCGCCTCAGCAGGTACACTCAGGCCAGGCTCAAAGTCAGGCGCCGCGAGCAGGTCCTCAACAGGCGCATGCAGTCAAGGCTCGAGGCCATGAGGTGCACACAGCCCAGGCTCAAGGACAGGTGCCTCAAGTAAGTCCTCAGGTGTGCTCAGGCCAGGCTCATCATGGTCAGGCGCCGCAAGTAAGTCCTTTTCAAGTGCACGCAGGCCAGGCTCAAGGTCAGATGCCTCAGGTAGGTCCTCCTCAGGTGCACACAGGCAAGGCTCAAGGTCAGGTGCCGCAAGTGGGTCCTCATCAAGTGCACACAGCAGAGGCTCAAGGTCCTCAGGTGCACTCAGACCAGGCTCAAGGTCAGGTGCCGCAAGTAGGTCCTCATGAGGTGCACGCAGCCCAAACTCAAGGTCAAGTGCCACAAGTAGGTCCTCAACAGGCGCGCGCTGCCCAGGCTCAAGGTCAGGTGTCCCAGGTAGAACGACCTCTTGCCACTGGAGTCTCTGCGCCTATGCTTCATGACCTTACTCGACCGTTCGCTCTACATGAGCTTCAGCAAGACTTGCCAACCTTTTCCGATTTTCATGCTGCAGCCAAGGATCTTGTCCTCCACATGCCAAAGGCACAGGCTGGAAAGGAGCCTGGGCAGTCGCTGTTCTCAGCCGTACCAACGGCACATGGTACTGGAGCGGCTACAAAGCAGGACCCTTGCCCGCCCATACATGGGGTACTGGTGCCAGGTCCTCATTTCAGACTGAACTTGCGGCGCAATTTATCGGCCAAGTCGTGGCTTATGAGGCGCAGGTTGAATCCACCATCTTCTATGACTCCACATCGGCAGCCAGTGTTGCGCAAGGTCGTGCCAATACGACATCAGATTCTCCGCTCGTGCCAGCAGTCGCTACCATACACACCATCCTTCAGAACCGGGCATGTCGACACCATCAGGTACATGTTCGGGGTCATAAGGGCAATCTAGGGAACGAGCTTGCTGATTCGCTTGCCAAAGCCTACTTGCATCACGATGAGGGTACTCTTCAGCAGGGTGAGGCTGCCCTTTTCCAAGCTACCCTATCGCCCGAATTTGCCTGGCTATGGCTGCCGGAAGTTCCACAGGACATTGCGTGGCCGACACAGAATGTAGATGGCATTACGACACCTTGCCAAAGCTTGCCCCTCCGTGTCCCAGTTGAATCGCCAGCTCAATGGGCCCCCTCCCAGCCTGGGAACGCAGAGGACAATTGTTTCACTGTAGACCTCCAGTGTGCCACATATAACACGCTTTCTTCCCGCACAGCCCTGCAGCGACAATGCCTGCACCACTTCATGCGGGCTCATCACATAGGAGTGCTAGGGTTACAGGAGACCCGCCATGACTGTGAACCTGTTGAAAGACAGGCCGGCATGTGGAGGTTCTCCAGCAAGCCAGACCTGGGCCAATTTGGCTGCCAGTTGTGGCTAGACACCCGACGGCCGTTGGGTCAAACAGCCGATGGTAGGCCCATCCATTGGCAACCGCAAACATGCTCGATCAGGTTTCAGCACCCACGACTCTTGCTTGTGTCCGGACACATAGGCTCGGTGCCGTGCCTCTTTATAGTTGGTCATGCCCCAACTGCAATCAGCCCGATGTCGGAAATCACCAGTTGGTGGAAGATGTTGCGAGAACAAACCGATCGACACCTGCAAGGCAGAATACCCTTGGCATTCCTTGACGCAAATGCGAAGTTCGTGTATCAGGTCGGAGAAGAGCAGCCTCTGGATGCCAATGCAGAAGCCCTGCAATCCTTTGCACGCGACCTGGAGCTTGCCCGCACAGCCAGCCATCAACATGGCAAACCGGTGCACACCTGGACTGCGCCCAATGGGGCGAAGAATTGCATCGACTACCTCCTTTGGCCACGAGCGTGGGCCTCATGCCTGCAGGCCCAGCATACCACATGGGTCGACGATGCACATGCCGACTACGACCATCGCCTGCTCCATATCCGACTCCACATGACTCTTGAGGGATCAATCCCCAAGCAACCCTGGCGGCTTGACATTGAGGCCATGCATACCCCGGCCGGACAAGCTGCTATTGCCGACATCTGGCGGGCGCTTCCCCAAATGCCCTGGGAGATGCACATTGATGATCATGTCCTCGCCATCAATACTTACCTTCAGGGGCAGCTCGCGCACACCTTTGCCAAGCCGGCCGATGCACCCAGGTCGCCCACTATTTCCGGGACGACTTGGGCACTTCTCCATGCACGCAGAGGGTGTCGCAGGGCACAGCGCTACAGGCGTCAGGCCCTGGCCAAATTGACCTTGTATTCGTTTTGGGTAGCCTGGCGTCAGGCCTCTAGACATGGTGACAATTTACGACTAAACGGGCAGGTGACACATTTTAAGCTCAAAGGCCTTCGCATGCAACTTGCTCTCCACGCCAGGGACATGCGACACTATGCGGCCCGCATTCGCGACAGCCACAAGGCCGATGAAGCCGCCTTTGCCAGGTACATGTTCCAGGAAGCCAGGGCAAAAGGGCCCCACGAACTTGCCCGACTGATCCGAGCCATCTTGCGCACCGGGCGTAAGTATAAGGCCCCTAGGGCAGCCCCATGCATAGAAGTTGATGGTACCCCTACCTCAGACCCGGTCCTTGTCGCACAGGCCTTCGGTAGGCACTTTGCCAAAGCCGAATGTGCAACTGCCCAGCCGCTGAAAGAGCTGCAGCAGCAGCAGCAGCATGTCCCCCCGACGGCGACTGAACCAGTTGACCTTCTTGAGGTACCGCACCTCTCATGTCTGGCTCAAGCATTCGCGACCGCAGCCAACCGGAGAGCGCCGGGGCTCTCAGGGCTCCCGCCAGACTTCTACAGTGCACAGCCACTTGCTGCGGCTAGGGCCCATATGCCCGTCATCTTGAAAATGCTCAGCCGGGGGCAGGCGCCGACCTTATGGACGGGGAATCTCTCCATATGTATGCCCAAGCCAGCCAAAGACCACACCTCGGTTGATGGCTATAGGGCCATCGCCATGGTTGAGGTTGCTTCCAAGGCCACCACCAAAGCCCTACGACCATTCCTCACCAAAGCAGTTGCCGCCCTTTCCCTACCAGGTACCGGGGGAACTATGCCAGGAGCGCCAATGACTCTTGCAGCAATGACTGTTCAAAGTCACCTGCAGTTTCTTCGCAAACAAAAGCTTTGCGGCGCCGTCATCTTTGTTGACGGGGCCAATGCTTTTTACGCAGTCGTCAGAGACTACGTCTTGGACAGCAAAGCTGATTCTTTCCAACAATGGCTGTCGCACCTTCCAGTCCCAGACCGGATTCGCCGAAGACTGCAACGCCGATTCTCCCAAGGCAACCTGCTGGAAGAAGCGGGATTGACGCAGGCCCAACAGGACCTTGTACAACAGTTCCTGCGCAGGACATGGTACACCACCCATGTGGACGGGCGGCAAATCTTCAGCACTCAGGCTGGAACAGCGCCGGGCTCTCCGGTTGCAGACGCTATCTTCCAAGTGATCTTTGCGTCAGCACTTCGGGAGCTCCATCAAGACCTCACTGAAATCGGAGCCACCGATTGCATAGAGGTCTCGGGAGCAGGTTGCCAAGCGGCAGACATGCCAACATGGATGGACGATATGGCGGTCCTTCTCACATGTCCGGCAGAAAAATTGGAGCTACAACTTTCCCAGGCTACAGCGCTTGTTCAGGCCCATTTGCGTGCTATTGGCATCTCGGTCAACTTCGGCAGAGGTAAGTTTGAGGTCCTGTTGGCTGTACATGGGAAGGGTTCCCAGGCCCTTCGACAGCGCCTTCTCATCGAGCAAGCCGCCCGCATCCAAGTGGGAGACACCTCACAGACCATTGAGTGTGTCGCAAGCTATGTGCACCTCGGCACGCTTCGTCAGGCAACTGGATCCGACTGGGATGACCTGGCCAGGAGAAAGTACCAGACGGACGGGGTCTTTGCCAAAGTCCGGGGCCGCTTACTCAACAACCCCCACCTGAGCTGGCAAGAAAAGGTGCACATGCTTGGTAGTTTGATCATGCGGAAGTTCTTACATGGGGCGGGGACATGGGTACTACGCACAAAAGGTGAACTTGCTAGGTACCGGGCATATTACATGGCATATGTCCGAGGGGCCACCTGGCCACTCTGCGGCCATAGTAGTAAGTTCCTAGATGACGATGCCATCTGTGCCCTCAATGGGATCCTCCGACCGGATCAAGCCCTTGCCATCGAGCGCGCAAGAACCTTATGGCAGGTGGCCAATGGCCGCTCTGCCTATCTTCGAGCCTCCATTGTGCGGGCCGGGATATGGTTGGAAAAGGCGGCGCATGACATGGACACCATTTTGCAAGCGCTGCAACTGCCTCGCCTGCCAGCTCTACCCCAGGACACCTCCGCAGCAGAAACCTGGTTCGCCACCATGCAACGAGATCCGGCTGATGCTGCCAATGTCTTACGCAGGGTTGCCAAGTTGTGGCTCCGAGCCGCTTGCGAAGCAGCAGAACCTGCTCGACGCAAAGTGGCTGCACTAGGCCAGATGCAGGCAGCACGGGTCACTGTGCTGTACCTGTACCACACGCAGAGTGGTAACCACGAAGCGCTGCACGCCTGCCCTGACTGTGGTAGGACCTTTGAGGGGCCAGCTGCGCTGGCATCTCACCAAAGCAAAGTACACCATCACAGAGCTGAGTGTAGCCTAGCACTTTTTGGCTCCGCCTGCGAGGCTTGTGGGCTTCAATTCTGGCTACAACGCAGACTTCGCGAGCACTTGCGCCATCATGCCCAATGCAGAGCCACCTACCTTGCAGCCGACATAGCGCCACAACCGGAGGTAAATGATCCTCGCCTACAGCATCTACCAACGACGCGCAGGGTCGGCCCTCAGCCTTTTTGGGCCAGCTTACGGCCCCCAGTACCGACCAACTGCCCTGTAGGAGTTGCTCCCGCAACCACAGCAGCCTTCAAGGATGGGCTTCGATCTATCTTGGATCAAGGCACGCTCCACTCTTTTGCCAACACGTGGTTTGGTCAGGTTGAGCGAAACCCTGAGTTGCTTGAGTCGGTCACAGTACAGCATTGTACACAACTGCAGAGCTTAGTTGTTTCTCTCCTTCATGTCCGCTTGCTTTCTGTACAGGGCGGGGAGGGTTATATATACCAGCAAGGCTGCGCAGCTACCATAGCGTGCATGGGCCGCTATACCATTTATGGCCTACCAGCAAACGTGGGGCAGACAAGCTCCCATTTTTGGCTGCAGTGCCTCAACGGCTGATGCTGTTGTCCCTTTCGTGAATTTGAGAGTGCGTCATCTGACACATGCCACGCCGGTACAAACCCTAAACCCTAAACCCCAAACCCTAAACCCTAAACCCCAAACCCTAAACCCTAAACCCTAAACCCTACGCAAGCGAGGAGGCGAACCAGCGGCCTTTCCGCCAGCAGACTTCCTGGTTGGGATAGCCAGTCTCTTAAGGTGCAGGTCTTGAAGGCGCAGGGCTTTGGGGGATTTAGGGTTAGGGTTTAGGGTGGGTTTAGGGTTTAGGGTTTAGGGTTTGGGGTTTAGGGTTCAAGGTTTGGGGTTTAGGGTTAGGTTTTGGGGTTTAGGGTTGAGGGTTCATAGGGTTTCGGGTGTTCAGGTTTCATGCGGCTGAACTTTGGGGTGAAGTTTAAAGGGGTAAGGGTTAAGCGTTGTATGGGGTTGACGGTTTAGGGTGTACAAAACAGGGAATGCGGGTCCGCTGGGGGTCCTCGTGCTCTGACATGTGGGGGAGATATGACGACATCGGGAGCAACGATGCAACTGCTGTACCGATCATGGCCACTCCAAACAAAGCTCTCTCAGGTTGGAATGAGAAATTGTTGGTTTTGGGTTCCCAAGGTCAGGTCTGTGTTTTCAACAGCCGAGGGGCTGTGCCGTCACCTTTGTGCGAGCCATACTGGCAACAAGGGTCCTGGGGCCAAGTCCAACGAGGTTTCGGGCTTATGGCTTACAAGGGTTATCAAGGGTTGTAGGGTTAAACGAGGGTCTTAAAGTTGTAGGATCCTAGGGATATGGGCTTGAAGTGGGAGCTTGGGTGGGTTCCCCGGTATCTTTGAAGCTGCTACTGAGCATCCGAGCCCTGGTGGGTTGCGCTTCGGGTTCGGTGCTTGGGGCTTGTAGTACGTTAGGGTTTAGGGTTTAGGGCTTAGGGCTTAGGGTTCAGGGTTTAGGGTTTAGGGTTTATAAGGGGGGTCCGTAGGGTTTTGTTTGGTTTAAGTCTGTGCACCTGCTTTCCACGCAGACGCGAGTCAGGAGTATGTCGGGGAGGAGAAAAAACACATAAGATGTCACCGGCTGGAGACTTTGGCAAACTAAATCTCAAGCCTCAGCCCTACCCTCTACACCCCGCGCCCTGCGCCCTGAATCTCGTAAACCGCCCTGCACTTCTTTCAAACCACGGGGCGTTCCTCTTACAACTGTGACTCTGGGTAGCACCGAGAAGGCCCAGTCGTGCATTCGGGCTTAGGGTTTATGATAGGGCTTAGGGTTTAGGAATTAGGGTGTATTTCGGGTTTAGAATTTAAGGCTTAGGGTTTTGGGGTTCGTCTGGGCATCAATGGAACTCAGTACGCCAAGGGTCTGCTACTTTGTAGGGAGCGTGCAGGGTTGTAGGGTTCAAGGAACCCTCAAACCTCAGCTCCCCCCTCCCCCCCAAAGCTCCCCAATCTCGGTGTGAGAACGACCCTAAACCCTAAACCCTAAACCCTAAACCCTAAACCCTAAACCCTAAACCCTAAACCCTAAACCCTAAACCCTAAGCCCTGAACCACAGAGGCCCCCGACCCAAGGCGGAATCGATGGCAAAGATACGGTTACTTGCCTTGACTTCTGTGTCTCTCTCCTGCTCTGAGCCAAGCACGCGGAGGGGCTGCCAAGCACTTGCAGGACTATTCATTTGGGTTTAGGGTTTAGGGTTTGGGGTTTGGGGTTAGGGTTTGGGGTTTTTGGGGCATTGGGAAATGCCCAAATGGGTTCAGGGTTTAAGATCTAGGTCTTGAGCACCCGTTGCGTGCCAAGTCCGAAAACTCCACGAACCCTGCAAAACAGTCACTGCAAACCTCCAAAGGACGGGCTGGGTCGGCAACCCTAAACCCTAAACCCTAAACCCTAAACCCTAAACCCTAAACCCTAAACCCTAAACCCTAAACCTAAACCCTAAACCCTAAACCCTCGAGTTTGGGTATCCCTCGTAAACCCGCGGCAAAGCCAAAGGTTTCAAACCTCCTAGGTCACGGAGCTCCGTTGAGGTTGGCTTCTGAAGAACTTCTTTGGGAGAGAGGAGAGGGGACTTTAGGGCCTTGTGAGATTCACGGGCAAACTGCCCTAAACCCTAAACCCTAAACCCTAAACCCTAAACCCTGGGTTGCTGGGGCGGATCTGTGAAAGTGGCGAGCCCATCGGTAGGCGGTAAAGCCCCCAAGAACGCCTCACTCCACGCTTCGAGCCGATAGCTGGGATTCTCTGCACATATGTCTCTACCTGCGAGAATCCTTCTATTCAATGCCATGAAATATGAACCTTATATGGCTCATTTAGCCACTATACTAGGCTAAAGGAAAGGGGGAGGGGGAGGAAGGGGGCCGGGGGAAAAAGGCCTTACGCCCTAAACCCTAAACCTAAACCCTAAACCCTGAACGAGCTCTCGCGTTTTCTTCGCGGCATATCTTGGACTCGGCCCGGCTCGGTCACCCAAAGAGCTGGGGGGGCCCTGGGGTGCTGCTGTGGGCCGTTTGAAGGGTCTCCGACATTACGGGTACCTTACTGGGGTCCTTATTCTAAGGGAATCCTGCTATTTTGGGGGTATAAATCAGGGGTCCTCTATTTTTCTTGGGGGTCCTCTATTCTCGTAAGTCCCATATCTAAAGCCTGTGTTCCCGAAGTTGAGATTTGCTTAGGGTTTAGGGTTTGGGTTTACCAGCAGAAGCACTAGAGGCCCCTGTCAAAGCTAATCTTCCCAAAGTCAGAAGCAGCTGCCGGCAAAACCATTGCCTGAAGCGGCTCACGATACACAGGCGTGAGGGTAGATGTTATGCTTTTCATGTCGGGGCCGGCGCAGACAACCCAAAACCCTAAACCCTAAACCCTAAACCCTAAACCCTAAACCCAAAATAATGGGTAAGGACTTCAAAGCACCCTACAGCCGCTGTGAGGACTTGCGCCACGTCTTTTTCTTCTTCCCCCGGCGGGCGGAAGGGCGCCAGCTCGCCAAAGAAGGCCCGTACCTGTGAAAGCCCTAAACCCTAAACCCTAAACCCTCAACCCTAAACCCTAAACCCTATATAGTACCTGTCAGAGGCACACGCGGGTTTGCGGTTCGAGGTGTTTAGGGTGTTGGGGATCAGGTACTAAGAACTGATACGCAACGTGACAGGCTAGAACAATTCTAAACCCTAAACCTTAAACCCTAAACCCCAAACCCCAAACCCTAAACCCTAAACCCTAAACCCTAAACCCTACTACAGGAACAAAAAGCGGCTGGAACAGACACCACGCAGCGCCTCCCCCAGGAGGGCCAAGACGACTGGGTGCTGCTCGGCATCCTCCCCCGCGCGCAGCCTCCCAGAGGCGGGCACCAAGTTTGGCAACCCTGAATCCTAAACACAATACCTGGGTTTAGGGTTTAGGGCTTAGGGTTTAGGGTTTGGGGTTTGGGGTTTGGGGTTTAGGGTTTAGGGTATCCCAAAGGGTCCATTACCGATGTGGTATATACACGGGCCTTCAAGGTATGGACTGTGAAGATCCCAAAGCTCCGCAAAACCAAGGGCGTTGGGGTTTAGGTTTGGGGTTTGGGGTTCAGGGTCTGGTGCTTTTCAGCGTTGAGTTGTGGGGGTTTGGGGGCCCTCTATTTTTGATAGGGCTTAGAAGGGAACCTGATCCAACTTACAGTGGAAGAGCAGTCTGGAAACTCTAAACCCAAAAACATCTCAACCCTAGGCCCGAACTAGACCCAACTGGCCAGGCGACGCCAGGCCGAACGTTGTTGCATCGGGACGGTGGGATAAAGTAGATGCCTGCCACCTGAAGGAAGCTGCGAAACTGGTTGGGATTCAGGGTTTAGGAATAGGGATTTCCGAAAAATGGTCCCAAGAGGGGTCTGAATCAAAACCAGTTGCCTTGTAGGTACTTTAAAAGTAGGCTTCCTGATACCCACATATAGACGCTGGGCAGAAGCTCAGAAACGCCAGAAACAGCAGAATCCCAAAACCCATCAACCTCATAAACCCTAAACGTTACAAAGCCCCCTAAGCCCTAAACCCTCCAACATCTCGGGTCCATGTACCTCATCATTGTATGCTTGGGCCCCAAAAGTCCCGACATAGGAGGTACTTTTTGGCCCAAGTACTCCCTGTTTAGGTACAGAACCCTAAGCCCTAAACCCTAAACCCTAAACCCTTGGTTAGTTCTTCTTCAGCCAAGAGGCAGCAAGCAAAGGGCCCACTCCCATACCCCCCCCTCTTGGCAGCCAGCAACTGCGGCGCTGTAGCTGATCTGATCCAGCCTAGGGTTTAGGGTTTAGGGTTTAGGGTTTAGGGTTTAGGGTTTAGGGTTTAGGGTTTAGGGTTTAGGGTTTAGGGTTTAGGGTTTAGGGTTTAGGGTAAGAAGTGCTAGGATACCCTAAGCTCTAAATCCTAACCCGAAACCCTCAACCCTCCAGGGTTTGTAGAGTTTAGGGTTGCCCTAAACCCTACAATCCCCCCACAACCCCTATAATTATCTGCTCTGTCACTCCCAGTCTGCTTCATGGTTGGGATAATATGAAAAATTTGAATGTTTATTCCCTATTGGGTTTAAGTAACCTCCCCTAAACCCTAAACCCTAAACCCTAAACCCTAAACCCTAAACCCTAAACCCTAAACCCTAAACCCTAAACCCTAAAAAGTTACCCAACTATGACAGAGGAGTAGCTCCACTGCCGCCTCCCTGGACCAGGACAGGAGCTCAAGGGCTGCGAGCCACTGTGCCGCGCGGCCGCAGGCCGCCAGAGCCGCATTGAGGGTGATGGTGTTGGGTCGCAGCCTCGGCGTTGAGGGGTTTAGGGTTTAGGGCTAGGGTTTAGGGTTTAGGTTTAGGTTTAGGGTTTAGGGGTATCTGGATGTCAAGGTGATGGTGTTCAGTCGAAGGCTTGGCGTATCTTGGTGTGTAGGACTGCAGGGGCTTGTAAGCCTTGTAGGGTTTGGTGTTTAGGATGTAGGATCAAAAGTTTAGGGTTTAGGGTTTAAGGTTTAAGAATTGGGGTTCATGGGCTTGTTTTGGGATGTGGAAGATGTCTTAAGCTTTAGGGCTTTTGGTAGGGTATTTTTGTAGCATGCAAAATCATGCAAACTGAAGAGCCTCACCACGCTTTGTGATAGATTAATATTGTAATTCTGGGGGTCTCAGGCAACTTGCCCCAAAGAGTAGGGTTTGGGTTTGAGGGCTCTTCCCTCAAACTGAGCAGCTCGCCTACATCAACCTCCACGACCCCCAAACTCTCCGAAGTAAAACCCCTAAGCCTCAACTCCTGTAAGGGTTTCGGGTTTAGGGTTTTGGGTGCAGGGTTGCCCCAAACTTCCGGACCCTCCAACCCTAAACTCTAAACCCTAAACCCTTAAGCCCAAACCCTTCGAAACGCTGGCCACAGCCACCGCCGCCTCGGAAGGGAGGCGAGGAGGGAGAGCGCCGACTGCCACTTGGAGGCCTGCTTGAGGCACGGAAGTTTGTGGATTCGGGTTTAGGGCTTAGGGTTTTAGGGTTTTAGGGTTTAGGGTTTAGGGTTTAGGGTTTAGGGCTTAAGGTTTAGGGCTTAAGGTTTGAGGGTTCAGGGTTTTCAGGGCTGGCTTTATGGTTTAGGGCTTTAGGGTTCTGGGGTGTTAGGGTGTTAGGGTTTTAGGGATGTAGGGATTTAGGGTTTTAGGTTAGGGTTTTCGGGGTTTAGGGTTTCGGGTTTGGGGCTTAGGGTTTGGGAACACATACTTAAAGGTGATGTACCCCTAAACCCCGTGAACCCTACACCGGTTCGAGGCTAAACCCTAAACCCTAAACCCTAAACCCTAAACCCTAAACCCTAAACCCTAACTCCCAGACCACAAACCCTATAGGCACTCTAAGATCAGAACCATGTCGGGCCTAAGCTTCAGGTGGGTTTAGGGTTCAGGGTTCAGGGTTTAGGGTTTAGGGTTTAATGCAGAAAGTTTTCTCTCAGGTGACGTAGAATGTGTGACAGGGGCGGCCCCAAAGGCTTTCAGGGTGTGGGGTTTATAGGGCATCGTTAGGGCATAGGGTTTAGAAAGGCATTAGTTTTGAGCTACATACATAAGACAAAATGACCATTAACCACCTCGGCCGAGTACTATGCCTGCAGGCGGGCACTTTCTAAACCCTAAGCCCTAAGCCCTAAGCCCTAAGGCCTAAGCCCTAAACCCTAAACCCTAAACCTATGCCCTATGTCCTATGCCCTATGCCCTAATTAAGCCCTATGCCCTATGCCCTATGCCCTATGCCCTGAGCCCTAAGCCCTATGCCCTATGCCCTCAGCCCAAGGCTTCTCCATGGCCTCCTCACAGGCACTGATGCAGGCGCCAAGGGTGACGACCGTGGCCTCGAGTGACCGGGCATCCAACTCGCCTGCGGGAGCTGCGGTTTCGACTTTGGAGGTCAAACCCTAAACCCTATACCCTACACCCTAAACCCTAAACCCTAAACCCTAAACCCTACACCCTACACCCTAAAATCCTAAACCCTAAACCTAGAGCAAAAAACATCCGAAACCCTAAGCCAGGGGTTTAGGGCTTTAGGGGTTAAAGCGTTGTACGGGTTTGGGGCGCAGAGGCTGGAATCCCTAAACCCTAGACCCTTTACCCGAAACCATAGATCCAAAACCCTAAACCCCAAAGTGGTTAACCCTAAACCCTGAACCCTAAACTGAACTCTGAGCCCTAAACCCAAACCCTAAACCCTAAACCCTAAACCCTAAACCCTAAACCCTAAACCCTAAACCCTAACCCTAAACCCTAAACCCTAAACCCTAAACCCTAAACCCTAAACCCTAAACCCTAAACCCTAAACCCTAAACCCTAACTAAACCCTTAAACCCTAAACCCTTAAACCCTAAACCCTAAACCCTAAACCCGCCTAGAAGTGAGAGGGCGCGCGGCCAATCCATGGCCCTGTCGCAGGCGCTGATGGCTGCATTGTAGCCTGGCTGAAAAGAGGAATGGGGAATCTGCAAGGCTCGATGTCCCTAAACCCTAAACCCTTATAAGCCCTAACCACTGAACCTTAAACCCATTAACCGGCAAACTCTACCACCTCTAACCTGGGACGGGATTGGTGCTCAAGGATCTACAGCCTGCAGCCCTGTAGCAGGAGGTGCCAACGGATCCAAACGCATGATATGTCAAGATCCCTGAAACTTACAGTAAACCCTAGACCCTAGACCCTAGACCCTAATTAAACCCGAAACCCGAAACCCTAAACCCTAAACCCTAAAGCACAGAACTCCAACAGCATGACCAAGCGGCTGGTCACGTCCGGGCACAGGTGCATGCCGTCCATGCAAGCCAGTAGCTGCAGTGCTTGCTGCCATTCAGTTGCTCGGGCGCAGGTGCTGATGGCGGAATTGCAAGCGATACAGCTCGGGGGGAGATGCTTCGAATTCATGTCCTTCAAGAGGGACAGAGCCTGATACCACTCCGCCGAAGCCTCACATGCGCTGATCGCTGCAGCGTATGTGACCTCCGTCGGGCGTAGCATCCGCGCTTGGATGTCCTTCAGCAGCTGCAGGGCCCTCTCCCACATGCCCTCAGCCGCGCAGGCACTGATCGCCGCGTTGTACCTTGCAAGGACTCCTCCCAGACCGAAGTCCTGTAAGCCATGATAAGCCCCTATAAACCGTCAACCGAAAACCCCAAGTAGCCTAATTACGAACCCCTCCCTCGCCCACCCCCCCCCCCCCAAAAAAAAATGAAACAAACCTCCCCACCCCCCTGAAACAAAAGACTAAGAAGTTAAAGCAGAATAGCGCAATCAGGGTGCGTGATGGCGTTGGTCAGGGAGGGGCCTGCGACTTGGAGCAAAGCCAACGCCGCCTGAATGGCCCAGAAGTCACTTGAGGGCCTAATTAATTAGGAGCCCCTCTTGAAATAGAAACTGCAGATAATGAAGAGGGCTCTTGATATTTTATACAAACAAGCCTATAGACACCCTAGACTGCCTGGACGCTGAAGTGCAGTTCCCTTTTTGGGGGGCACCTATTTCTGGGTGTTTTAAATGCATGGTGTGGTACAATATACAGATGAAAGATGTAGCGCAAAAAGGACTGCGCTACTACTCATGGCCCGGGGAGAAGCTGGTTTATGTTATCATCGTATAAAGAAGCCTGTGCTTCATGCATATAAGCATATATGCCATATGAAATAGTCTACAATGTGTGTGTATATATATATGTATAGATATGGATATAGAAATAGTTATAAGTATAGATACAACTACAGACATGCATGTGGTATATGCGACACGACCTGATATTGCCGGTACCGAAGCTTCAGTTCCTTAACAGCACCCCCAAGCTGCAAGTCCCAGCTCTCAAAGCTCCTGCATCCCTACACCTCTGAGGGTTTAGGGTTTAGGGTTTAGGGTTTAGGGTTTAGGGTTTAGGGTTTAGGGTTTAGGGTTTAGGGTCGAAACCCTAAACCCTCGAACGCTAAGGGACTCTATAGAGGAAGGGCTACGGAGGCATGTAGGGACTATGTAAGGTGTTTCGGAGGGCTCGATAGGGGAATAAGATTAAGGGTCTTCTAGGGGTCCCTGCTGATACCCCTGATCTCTATACCCCAAAGTGTCCTAAGTACCTACATAGTAGAAAGTAGGGTTTCAATAATTGAAGGTCTCCATTCTGGTTTGGGTAAGTGTCCCCCATATGGGTGCTGAGGACCCTTTGGGCTCCACCTGCCACTGGCCCGCTTTCTCGCAGGCGCTCACGGCCGCGCTCCAGGAAACGACCGTCGACTGGAGCCGCAAAGCACCAAGGCTCCTGGGTTGGGAACGCTGAACCCTGAACCCTAAACCCTAAACCCTGAACCCTAAACCCTAAACCCGAAACCCTAAACCTAAAACCTGAACCCTGAACTCAACCTTCAAAAGCCTCTAAGAAACAGTTCTCAGCCCGGGTGGGAGCTTAGGGTTCAGGGCTTGCGGTTGAGGGTTTAAGGGAAAAGCCTCTGAACGAGTGTTCCCAACAAAAGATCCGTGTGAAACGCTGAATGGGTGCACGTAATAAGCAAGTCCTTTATAAAGGCCTGCTTAGGTACTCCAAGAGGTGGAGAGCTGCTTGCCACTGACCAGCCTTTTCGCATGCGCTGATGGCCTCAATCAGCTTGGTTTACGGTTAACCCTAAACCCTAAACCCTAAACCCTAAACCCTAAACCCTATAAACCCTAAGTCCTAAGTGAGTTGCCAAGAATGGCCTGCTGTCCAGGTGGCGGAGTTCAAGGTGATGGTATTGATCTGCAGCGCAGCCACAAGAGCTTCCCGCAGGCAGCAAAGAGCCCGCTGCCACGCACTCACACGCCCACAGGCGCTGACTAAAGTGCTGAAGCTCACGACACTGGGCTGCACCTGCCTCAGCCGAACCTGTTCGGGATTGAGAGCTCCGAGGGTCCCCTAGGGTTTAGGGTTTAGGGTTTAGGGTTTAGGGTTAGGGTTTAGGGTTTAGGGATTGAAGCACCACTTCAGCCTGTGCCACCTTTTTGGCCAAACCCAAATCAGCATCAGCGGCTTGTAATGGTTATATGACCCCCCCAAATCTACTTTCCTCCCCCATTCCCCCCCCCCCCCGCCCGAACACCAACATATATCAGATATATATATATATATATATTTATATTTACATATATACATATATATGTATCAGCATATATTGTGAGCAAATAGAAGCACACATGCAGAGATGCCTCCTGCATAGCATGTTGCTCTTGAGTTTGTGCCAGTGCGGTAGTGTAGTTTCTCTTTGCATGTTTAGTTTTGCAGTTCGTATGAATGCCAATTTTGGCTCAAGTATGAGACTAGACTTGTGCCTGTGCGCACGGTAGTTTCGTTCTGTAGCTTTTAGGTTGCAGGGCGGTCCGACAGGACGCCAGGCCGTAGGTTCACACCGAGCTTGGACCCACGAAGTCGAAAACAGCGTGACCACCTGTGGTTGCTTTAGTTTAGAGCAAGACCAGTGCTGGTCGACTTCACAATATATATATATATATATATATGGCTCATATATATATATATATATACACAACAAAAAATATGGCAGGCAGAGCCGTAAACCATCGCAAACCCCGAACCCCAGCGCCTGCGCAAACAGCAACAAGCCCTGCTCCCACTGGGAGGCCCGATCCAAGGCGCTCAGCGCTGCGTTGTACGTCCGCACGTCACACAGTTCCTCCGGCGCTGGAATGCTCAACTGTGGGTAATGACGGGTTGCTTGTTTGAAGTCTCTACATTCTAGTAATACAGTGTGGCTGCTGGCTTCTGTATACTAACTTTTAAGTACCAAGAGCTTTCAGAGTCATAGAGCTATAAGCTTAAGTGCCTCACACGGAACAGACCTGTACCCTTCATAGTTCCTCTTTGGGGGCCTACTTGTCTCTTGCATGAGCATGACCTAATCCCAAAACCCTAAATCCTTAACCCTATGACCTATGAACTTACTGCCTGAGCCCCTTCCCAGGGTCAAGGTGAAGCCTTGATCCAACCCTTCCAAGCTAGCATTTGATTCCAAAAGTGGCTCTTCTGAGCCCTCAGAAAAACACTCGCAGACAACATCCTACCCTATGAACCCTAAAATCCCGAAACCCTAAAACCCGAAATCCTTCTGAAATCTCAAAGAAGGGAAGACCTGAGCATCCCACGCTCCGTCGCTGTATCTACTGATAGCTCTCCTTAGGGGAATTCCGGGATATTAGGGCTTCGGGCTCCGCCCTCAGAACCAGCAAGTTCTCCGAAACCCTAAACCCTAAACCCTAAACCCTAAACCCTAAACCCTAAACCCTAAACCCTAAACCCTAAACCCTGCTTCGAAAGGCCATGAGCTGCCTGCTGATGGCCGACGCCCGTGCTCTGCGCCTCCCCCAGGATTGCCAGGGCCAGCTGCCACTGGGAGGCCTTCCCACAGACCTAGGCTTGCTTGGGGTTTAGGGTTTAGGGTCTGTTGCTTGGGGTTTAGGGTTTAGGGTTTAGGGTTTAGGGTTTAGGGTTTAGGGTTTAGGGTTTAGGGTTTAGGGTTTAGGGTTTAGGGTTTAGGGCCTGAAACCTGAGCCGCAATCATCTGAAACTGGCACTCTAGTCGACCCCAAACCCCCGGAACCCGAAACCCTAAACCCTAGCCCTAAACCCTAAACCCAAAACTCTGAATCCTGAACCCTGAACCCTAAACCCTAACCCCTTTCTGACAATCCTCAGCAGAGAGGCCCCCAGGCAGGTGCAGAAGGTCGCCCCCGTGGGGCGGAGATCAACCTCGCCCGCCTCCCGCAGCAGCGCCAGACACTCCTTGCGACGGGGGTTTAGGGTTTAGGGTTTGGGGTTTGGGGTTTAGGGTTTAGGGTTCCGGGTTTTGGCAATTATGGGGAGTGGTTAGGACATTTTTCAGGCCCAGATGCAGAATATCATCGCGGGCTGTTTGCATTCTGGCTTGCCATGCATGTGTCCGAAGCAGAACTGAAAACGTATTCGCACTAACGTGGATATCTGTACCCTAAACCCTAAACCCTAAACCCTAAACCCTAAACCCTAAACCCTAAACCCACTTACCACCAACTCGAGGAGTTTTGCGGCGGGGTTCATGCGGGAACCAAGACTGTCAACTGGGAGAAGCTTCCAGACTCTACTGTGGGAGGTTCATGGTACTTATGAACCAAGTATAGAGGTACTTATAAGGGTTTAGGGTTTAGGGTTTAGGGTTTAGGGTAACTGGGCTTATAGCTGTACTTAGAACCATATTGAAGCACTTAAGGGGCTTATAAGGGGGTTGTGAATACAGGTATCATTGGTTCCTAAGTACCATGAACCTCCATGTATTTCTCACGTGGCGAACCGTCCGTTGGTGGCGATCGGCTATCGGCTATCCAGCATCCTGAAACCTAAACCCTAACCCTAAACCCTAAACCCTAAACCCTAGCTATCCAGCATCCTGAACTGACTTCCTGCGGCCACATCGGCCACAAGGATGCCGCTCGAAAGGTTGCTCCATACGTGAGTGCCCTGCGTGCTCGACACCCTCACGGCCGAAAGATGCTAGTCGCAAAGGCCGGAAGCCGTCCGGGTTTAGGGTTTAGTGTTTAGGGTTTAGGGTTTAGGGTTCAGGAGCAAGCGTTCGGGGATCCTTCCTTACACTTTTTGGGCTTGTTTTAAACAGGGACCGTCGGCTCTTTTGCAGGTCCTCAGGACCCTGAACACCACCGCAAACCCCGAATCCTTCCAAACCCTACGCCCCTACACTTCGAAGAAGGAACCCTAAACCCTAAACCCTAAACCCTAAACCCTAAACCCTAAACCCTGAACCCTGAACCCCCAACTAAAAAAGTCTGGGAAAAAACAACCGGCGGGCCCTGCCTGCCATCCCAAAAACTTCTCAAAAGCACCCAGGGCCGCGTTGTAGGTCTGGATGTCGGCCTTTTTCTTTCCCTTTCTCCGGGTTTAGGGTTTAGGGTTTAGGGTTTAGGGTTTAGGGTTTAGGGTTTAGGGGCGCTGGTCGGTCCCCTGCCCTGTCACATGACAATCTAACTGAAAGGGAGAGCTCACTCCCAAACAAGGATCCAAAAAGTAGAGCCCCCAACTAGTATCCTGTACTTCTCGTGCCTCAAGGGGATCCTAAACCCTAAATCCTAAATCCTAAACCCTAAACCATAAGCCCTAAACCCTAAACCCTAAACGCTAAACCTACTTGTTGGATCCCCCTAGGGGTCTGCGTAAGAGTACTACCGGGCATCTCATGCCTTCTGAGGCTGCTTCGGGTTCAGGGTTGGGATGTTCACCCGTAGAGACAGTCCTTCATGGGTTTAGGGTTTAGGGTTTAGGGTTTAGGGTTTAGGGTTCGAGTACCCCCTCTTTTCAGCCCTGTTAAGGACTGTTAGTATAAGGGGGAACATGGGGTTTGGAATTTTAGGTTCATAGGGCTTCGCGATCACGTTTGGGGCTTAGGAGTTGCGGTTCTTAGGGCTTTGGGTGTAGGTTTAGGGTTTAGGGTTTAGGGTTATAAGGTTCATTGGATGTTCATAGGGCTTGGGTAGGCAACTTGGGCTTTGTAAGGCTATTTTCTGTTCTGGGCCTCTAATTGCCCTCTGAAGCTGTTCACGACATGCAGCCCTAAACCCTAAACCCTAAACCCTAAACCCTAAACCCTAAACCCTAAACCCTAAACCCTAAACCCTAAATCCTACACCGGCGCATGCCAACGCAAAGAGGGAGGGAAACAGAGAATCTGCAGCCCCCGCCTCCAGCCGCCGGTCTTGCCTCGGCCCAAACTTAACGCAGAAGAACCGATAGGATCCTGTTGCTTTGATAGACTTTGCAAAAGAACCGAAACAACCAAAACCCTAAACCCTAAACCCTAAACCCTAAACCCTAAACCCTAAACCCTAAACCCTAATCCCTAAACCCTAAACCCTAAACTCCAGACCCAGCGTCTTTACATCATCCCAGATGTCCAGGGCTTTCTCCCAGCTGCTGCCGCGAATGCATGCGCTGAGCGCTGCTGTGTATGTGACCACCTAGTGGCACCCCAAACTCAAGCTTTTAGGGTTTAGGGTTTAGGGTTAGGGTTTAGGGTTTAGGGTTTAGGGTTTAGGGTTTAGGGTTTAGGGTTTAGGGTTTAGGGTTTAGGGTTTAGGGTTTAGGGTTTAGGGTTTAGGGTTTCGGATTTCGGGGCGAGAACTGCAAACCCTCGGCTTTCCTCAGACTCCCAGGCACGTCGGCCAGCGCCCGCTGCTTGGCTGTGGCAAGGAGTCCCAATGCCGCCTCCCATCGCTGCTTCTTCCCCTGCGCGGTGATGGCCTTGTTGTAGCTGACGGCAGTGCCATCTAAGGGTCTGTCGGCGCAAGTGCGGCCCATGGAAGAAGGTTCCGAACGGCACAGAAAAAAGGGTCTGAGAATGGAGCTTCAAGGCTTAGCGGCTTAGCGGTAGAAGCCATACATAAGACCTCCAACCTCACGACCTGTCTGAGAGCCCCACGTAAAGCCCTAAACCCTTCTTCCTCTGGGAAGTTCTGGAGCAGAAGTGCGGAGCAGAGCGGAAGTGCGGCAAGGCTTTCAAGGGGAGGCGTTAGTGTGTAAGAGTGCTTTGGGTTGAGGACTCAATGCTTCAAACTGTGGGCTTAGGGTTTGGGATTTGGGGTTTAGGAATTAGCGTTTAGGGTTTAAGGCTTAGGATTCAGGGTTTAGGGCTGTGGGTTTAGGATTTAGGGTTTAGGGGCTTGACGTCTTGGGCTATCCGGGACCTTGAAAAGACAGGGCCAACAAGCTACTCCTACTTCGGTGGGACCTTTGAGAACTGGAGCCCGCCTTGTTCCCCCCCACCTCTGTTCATATGCAGGAGCACACAACAAGTAGTCCAAAAACACTGGGCCCTAAAGCCTAAGCCCTCAACCCCAGCCTCGGCTCTATGAACACCCCCTCCCCCTCCTAAACCCTAAACCCTAAACCCTAAACCCTAAACCCTAAACCCTAAACCCTAAACCCCACCTACACACAGAGAGGCACAGGGACACAGAGAGACCGAGACGCAACGCAGAGACACACGCACAAAGCTCGCCTCAGCCGGCAGGGGCCGAGTCAAGTACCCAGTACATCATACACTTGAGCCACTGCGGAAAAGGGGATTTGGGTTTAGGAGTGGGGCTTTGACCCTACAGACCCTGAAAGTTGGGGTTTAGAAGGCTCGTACATGTAGACTGCAGGCCCACCCATTTCGGCACCCTGCGAAACTAGCATCGGCATCCTGAAAAACTAGCATAGGAGCGCGTAGATTGTGGGGCGCTCTCAGCCCGGCCGTCAGCTCCACAACCAAAGAAGCCTTTAGGGTTTAGGGTTTAGGGTTTAGGGTTTAGGGTTTCGGGTTTCGGGTTTCGGGTTTCGGATTTCGTAGGGTTTAGGGGGGAACTGTCCATCTCCAATTGCCATGTCCTTCATCGCCCAGGTTGTTGCGAGGCAGAACGAGTTGCGTGTACCTCGGTTCTCTCAACTAATGCTGGTAACGAAAGACGCAGAATGTGTGCTTTTGCACACGGAGGCATGCGCAGGTGTTCGGCCCAGCAAAACTGTCGAGGTTGAAGGCTTCTAGGGTTTAGGACGTCCTTGTTCCCTGAGTCAGTCTTAAGGCTGAGAGGACTTTAGGATGAGTTTTAGGTTTTTTGTTTGCTTCCTATGCGCAGCATCACGTTGAGGCTTCTTGCGTTTAGGGTTTAGATCCTTAAAGCTTGCGATGCCCAACTTGCAGTGTCCATGCCCAACATGAGTTTCAGGATACGGGTTTGAAATTCTGAAGGCTGAGGGCTAGAAGTTTAGGGTTTAGGGTCTATAGGGCTTTATAGGGCTTTATAGGGTTAGCAGGATTTATAGGGGTTATACAGAGCTTATCAGGTTTATAGGGTTTATAGAGCTTAACAAAAACTAAGCCCTTACTGAGACCACTTGAAGGCCCAGGATTGATGAACAACAAAAAAGCAGCACCGTTTCCCGGGGCCGGCGCTTGTTGCTCATGCCCAGGCAAGTGCATATCACCTGGCTTTTAGGGTTTAGGGTTTAGGGTTTAGGGTTTGGGGTTTAGGGTTTAGTGTTTAGGATTTAGGGTTGGGTTTAGGGCTTAGGGTTTAGGACTTAGGGTTTAGGGCTTTGCACACGTAGCTCGAACCCCGACAAAATCCTAAGGGCATCATGCCCAAAACGCCGTAAATGCCCTCAAACCCCCTAAACGCCCTGAAGAAAGAGCAGGATAACAGCGACAGCAATCAAGCGTCGCCTACGACAACCTCACAATCCCAAAGTCTGCCACCCTAAACACTAAACCCTAAACCCGAAACCCTCAGCCCTAGAAACCCTCAGCCCGAGTAAAGCCCTTCAGCCCTACCTACAACTTCCTGAACCCTAAACCCTAAATCCTTTTATAAACACTAAGCCCCTAAACCCCAAAACCCTAACCCCCCTAAACCCTAAACCCCTAAATCCTTTTATAAACACTAAACCCCTAAAACCCCAAAACCCTAACCCCCCTAAACCCTAAACCCTGCCCCGACAAACTTCTTTCCATGGCCTTCGCGCACTCGGGGCCAACGTTGCAGTCGGCCATGCTGAACCTGGGACTGACGGAGGCTCGTGGGTTTCGGGATACTCTTAGGGTACTTTCATGGTCCCTTAGTATGGGCCCTTTCGAAGGGGACCCCTTAAGCACCCCTTATATACCCTATACAAACTAAGGGCTCATACATCAGAATCAGAATCCTTTGAAGAAGGTAACGGACCATATTAAAGACTACCCTTAGAGTTAGGGTCTCGTCCCAAGACTAACCTAGGAATAAACGGGTGCCCTTTTTGGCTTAACAGTGCTTGGTAAGGGAACCCAAACTTTGAAAAAAACGGGAAAAGGGCCTACTCTGGGTCCTGGGGGTTTGGGGTTTAGGGTTTAGGGGTTAGGGTTTAGGGTATAGGGTATAGGGTTTAGGGTTTAGTGTTTAGGGTTTAGGGTTTAGGGTTTCGGGTTTAGGGTTAAGGTTTTAGGGTTTAGGGTTTAGGGTTTAGGGTTTAGGGTTTAGGGTTAAGGGTTTAGGTGGAGCTTGCGGGGCTCAAGGGGCTTTCTGTGACAACCCGAACCCCTTACCAGGTCTCGGCCGCATGAGTGCTCAAGGCACTGAGCTTGCGACGTGGTCCGAGAGCAGTTTGAGAGTACCTCGGTGTGTCTTAGCCTGCCCCTTGGGGCACTTACTTAGGGCTTATGCGGCTTGCGGGGCTTAGGGCTTCCAGGGTTTTGGCCTTGGGCTTACGGTACTAGGGTCTGAGGTTTACGGTTGGAGGTGTTGGCTGAATGACGACACTAAGGGACCCCACAAACGGAAGTACAATTTGCTGGGGTCAACCCTCCACAAAGAAAAGCCTCGGCAACACAATCTCGCAACCGAAAATCACCCCAACACCCCAATTCGAGGTCAGTGCAAAAAGTTGAACCCCGGCGCACGAACTCCGCAAATCGTTGCTGCCGCTCCTGCCCCCAGTTGGGTGTAGGGTTTTTAGAGTTTAGGGTTTAGGGTTTAGGGTGTAGGGATTACGAATCCCAAACTATTAAACCCTGAACCCTTAAAAAAAGCGAATGGAGCCCACGCAAGCTCAGATTCCTCACGTGAAGTACCCGGCCCCAAGCTCAGGACAACTGGTTGAGGATTTTGAGGGTCTAGGGTTTGGTTGGCTTAGGGTTGTGGGTTTAGGGTTTAGGGTTTAGGGTTTAGGGTTTCGGGTTTAGGGTTTGGCGTTTAGGTTCTATGAAGCAACTCCAAAGCCTGCAAAAGAGGTTGCGAGGGAAGTGGTCCAGAAGTATAGTTACAGCCCTTGCTAAGTCTTCAGGCTCCTGCAATAGCCCACCAACTATCCCCTAAACCCTAAACCCTAAACCCGACGCCCTAAACCCTAAACCCTAAAGCCTAAACCCTAGAACCCTATACCCTAGAACCCCCCCTCCCCCCATGACCCCCTCAAAGCATCCGGTTGTTCAGGCCTTCGTGGCAATGATGCGCTGGTCCCGACCTGGGCACCAAACATGCTGCGCCCGAAGACCCAAACCCTGTATTACAACCCTAAACCCGAAACCCTAAATCCTAAACCCGAAACCCTAAACCCTAAATCCTAAACCCTAAACCCTCCTTGAGGGCTTGGGCCCTCGAGGGATGCGTGGGTCAGGCTTCGTTCTGCTGTTCTTCAACTGCGAGCACCAAGGAGGGTGACTCAAGAACCCCTAAACCCTAAACCCTAACCCCTGAACCCTAAACCCTAAACCCTAAGCCTTAAACCCTAAACCCTCTCATTCAAACCCTGTAAACCTGTAACTCTGAAACCCTGTGTCTCTGAACCTTGAAACGTCTTCCGTGACGGGCCTCTACACCCACCGGGTTTGGCGCAGATGTTGAAGGCTGGTTCAGGGTCCATTGGCTCCATGCTTTGGGTTTAAGGTTTGGGGTTTAGGGTGGAGCTGTCCTTCTGTAGACTTCAATTCTCATGCAAGTCTTTGGAAGACTTACGCCTGGCTTGTGAGAAGTGCCCATTGACACCGGGCTTGGTATACACGGCATTCCAGAGGCCTAGTTCATGGTTGGGATAGTATTGAAAATCTAAGTTGGGTTCCTGATTGAGTTTAAGTACTCTGAAAAATGCAAAATGTTACCCCACTATGACACAGAGGCACTGCACGTAGGGTGAGCAGGTAGGGTGTAGGCTCAGTCCTATCCTGGTCCCGAAGCCGTATCTACCGCTATCCTTACAGGCTCATATAACAAGCCCCAACTGAAATCCGCTGAAGAGCTTCTTGGGTTTCGGGTATCCCTGCATCTCTACTGACCTTCAGCCCTACATTCCCTTCACCAAGCATCCCAGAACACAGAAAAGGCCCTTGAAGCCCTCTGACAACAGCTCCTGCAGGAGGATCCTCTTCAACCGAGTGACTTCTCCCAAGGGCCTACCCTAAACCCTAAACCCTAAACCCTAAACCCTAAACCCTAAACTCAGCAAGTAAAAATTCAAAATCTCCCAAGGGCCTACCCGTAAAAAGGTCGAAGGGCATTTCGAAATCAAGATCGCGCCCAGCAGCTGTCCGGGCCTCATCGGGGGACATTTGGCTCCACTCTGGGTGCGTTGTCTTCAGACCGTGTTGTGTGTGTGTGTGCGTGTGTGTGGATGTGTGTGGGTGTGTTTGGGCGTGTTCGGGTGTTTGGGTGTGTTTGGGTGCGTGCGTGCATGCGTGCGTGCGTGCGTGCGAGAGTGCATCTGTGCTGTCTTGAGTAATTATGCATAAATAGACTCGACAACCCACACCCCACCGCATGAGTCAAGACAATCCAATGACGACGGCAGCA